TACAATTCAAAAGTGAGATTGAATGCACGCGTTGGCATGTATTTCCGATGATCCGCGATTCATGGTGTGTTAAAGAATCGAGAAATGAACACGAAGACGAGCGAATTCTAAAGAATAAACCTAGCTTCTTTATATTTATCCCACTTGTGTCTCAATCAGAGTGATTATCTCGGTGAAATTCCAAATAAATTAGAATCCTCTCGTGGATAGCATCGCGTAGAATAACGAGAAAATAGGCGGGAAGAGCGTGTTATGGAAATGGAATCCCTAATATTTTTCCTAACTCTTATATCTCGATAAAGATCACGCGTTTTCGTTTCGTTGAAAAGTGTGTTGTCGAGGTTAAAGCTTGATGGAATCCCATGAATTTCGGCGAGATTACTCGTCGTGGCACGAGTCTCCGCCGTGTTATTTAACGGTCGAGTCGGACGAGAACGAACTTTCGACAGATTGGTTGTCGAAGGGACCGCACCGCGATGGCATCGAGCGAAACCCGATGGCGAAAATTGAAATCGATTTCTCCGGTACTATTCTCGACTCCGTGGCGCAATTTTCAATAGGGATAAACATCCGTGAGTCCGGATTAACGAGAATGATTTAACGGGACCTCGAAGCCCTCAATTTCGTTTACAAATGAACTTGCCGCGGCCGAGGATGGTAATGCGGACAAATTGCGGCCCATCCCTTTAGAGATATTAATGCCTCGGGTGTGCCGTTTTAATACGGGAGGAGAGGAAGGTGGCCCGATTTCTCAAACTTTTCCGACTTAATGCGCCGTTCGTTCTCTTCCAAGAATTCGGCTAAACTGTGCATACCGCTGTATTAATTAATTAAGACACGTGCAAGAGTATGAATAATTTTGAAAGGTGTTATTTTGTTTACTACCTCCTCACTCGAGGATTTTTTTGTCCAATTTGAGTAATTTTTTAATCATTCTCCGCGATACAAATATGCTTGGAGTTTTGAAAATCAATTTCATATATGATTAGAATTTGATATCAATGAACGATTCCGATTACATATAAATCATTATTTCGATCTCTAAATAATACAAATTTTTAGACTAATTAATTAATTAAGGATAATATTGTCTTAATCTATTAATGACCCCAATAATTGCAAATTACTATTTGATCTCTAAATAATTGGTATCTCGATCAAATACAAACCCATCGTGTAGAATTTCTCTTCGGCCGTGTTTCCCCGTGGTTTTCGAGTGTCGCAATAACCACGATTCGCGTCCGCAAACACAGTCCAATTCATTTTATCACGCTCAACATTCGAAACGAGCATGAAACATTGTTTCGATCGCGGCTTAACGAACTGG